CCGCCGGTGCTCCCCCCGCCACCGCCACCGCCGGCGGCCCTTCATGGCGGGGGGAGGCGGCTCCGGGCAGCCGGGGCTCCGCCGACCCTCTGGCTGCCGGAGAGCGGCTCTCGGCCGAGAGGCAAAGTTAGCGGCGCCGGCGGCGGGGGGGTGTGGGCTGCCGGCGGCCCTCCCCGCCGGGGAGCACGCCCACGGGCACGCCGGACAGGCTCGGGGCTGCCCGCCCGCCTTCGCCCCCGCCTCCTCCTCCTTCGTCTTCTCCTCCTCCTCCTCCTCCTCGCAGCGCCACGCGGAAGCTCCCGCACCTGCCCCCGCCGCCGGCGGGACGCGGGCTGCCGCCGGTGCTGCCGCTGCTTGTCGCGGTGCGGGGAGCCGGGCCGCCCCTCGCCCGGCCTCCCTCCCTCCTTCCCTCCCTCCCCTCTCTCCTTCCCTCCCCCGGACAGGGCCGGAGGGGCGGGCTCGGCACCTCGGGAGTCACCCCCGCCCGGGAAAGGGCGCACCGCAGAGGAGGCACGTTGTCGGCCAGGACAGGGACCGAGCAGCTGGCACTGCTGACCCGAGGAGGAACGTTTGGTCCTGTTGTCTACCGGGTCTCCAAGAGAAAGACCACGGCACAGGAGCGAAAAGGAGGTGCAAATGTATTTTTAGGAGGGATGACAGCTCTTCAAATCTGCAGCAGGTTTCTGAAAAGCTGCAGTTCGGTTTCTGAAACGCTGCGGGGTTTCTCAGCCAGGCTTTTGTCTGTGTGTGCCTGCCGATGGGATGCGGACGTCTCCTTCGTGTCTCATTGCTCCAGTTTATGCATCTAAAAGTTTCGTGTCTGTCTGAGCTGGTCACCCTTTGCAGCTGGTAGGAAGAAATGGGCACCCACGGTGGGACATCCAACCTGTCTTGGGTGTCTGATAGCCTTCTGATAACCCTTCTCTTTATTAGGAGCATAACGTTACCAGCTCCCACTTAGACTTCTAGTTCTTTTAGACATCTAAGATTAGCTTAAATAAATCTCTCGTGGGATGGAGAGTCAACAAGAGGTTGACTTCAGGATTTTAAATTCATATATACAACCTCAAGAGACCTTGAACGGTACAGACGTTGGAAGATGCTCACATAGAATCATAGAATCGTAGATGCTCACATAGAATCATAGAATCATCTAGATTGGAAGGGACCATAAAGATCATCTAGTCCAACCATCAACCTAACTCTGACAAAAAAATAAATAAGAAATAAGCAATAAAAAAAAATAATTCACTAAACCATATTCTTGAGAACCATGTCAACCTGTCTTTTGAACACCTTCAGGGATGGTGCCTCAACCACTTCCCTCGGCAGCCTATTCCAATATTCACCCATCCCAATATTCAGCCTATTCCAATATATTCACATAAAGCAATGGACCACGATCCATACTCCTAGTTAACACACATGCCTGGCAGGAAAGCAATGTCCCTGTCCTGCTGACTGTAGCAAGGGGTGCTGACTGTCCTAACCTCTAGGCAATGGATGCCTTCCTCTGTAAAACAGTGCTAATATTTAAGTACGGCATGCAGAATGAAAATTCAGGAAGGATAACACAATTCTCACCCTCCGTGTGTGATGTTTAGACTCGTGGAGCAGTCTATGGGGTACCTATTTGCTTGTAGTAAGCCACATGACACAACCTTAGTCAACAATATCACCTACAACGGGACACAGAAATGACTCGCAAGTTACATAGGTTCTAAAAATGTCCCTTCTGCAGCAAAAATATATAGATAGAGTCTGCAACTGCTGCACATTTTTCTGTCTGAATGTCTACACACCAAACAACAATCTTATTTCACATTTATTGGGCAACATATGAGGAACATAAAGCAATGCAAGAAAAAAAGCACACTTCTGTCCAGGTGGTGAGCCAGCAGTCTGCCTGCTAATGCTTTACTTGACCTCTGTAAAGTAAGTGTTAAAGACTGGGCTTCCTGCAGTTTATGGCGTGCTGAGTGAGGAGATGGTGCCAAACAAGACTTGTAGGCTCCCGAGCATGTAGAAGAATGTAGAAATGATGGCATTGGAAAAGAAATTCTGCCTCAACATACATATTCATCAGGGATTTGGGCTTTTAAACAAGATACACCAGCCTGAGTTTCAGCTCTGTCTCTGTAAAGACCAGGATTTCATCCAGACCATTAAGCAAGTACAGGAGGATGACAGAATAAAACCACACTTGCCTTCACCTATTCAAAGAACATGCACATCTAGTATTTTGAAGAGGTATCTCCAGGGTAGTTGACCAGTGATACAACACAAGGAAATGGACGGAGGCTGCATCAGGGGAAGTTCAGATTGGACATTAGGAAAAGGTTCTTCACTACAAGGGTGGTCGGTGACCAGAACAGGCTCCCCAGGGAAGCGGTCACAGCACCAAGCCTATTGGAGTTGAAGGAGTCCCTGAATGACACCCTTAGTCCTATGGTTTAGTTTTAGGTAGTCCTGAAAGGAGCAGGGAGTTGGACTCTATAATCCTTATGGGTCCCTTCCAACTCGAGATATTCTATGACTCTGACTTCTATGGTATCCTGCAAAATTTTGGAGGATTTACCAAGATGGGATCCTGAGTGCAGATGAGAATGGATAACTCTGAGCTGCTGGGGTTTCCCTTTTGTAAGACAAATGCTGAGTTGTGTGTAGCATCAACACCATCGCTGACAAAGGAGCCACAGCACAACATGTGTTACTGTAACTAATTTTGTTTTGGTTTCTATGATACGTACTTGTCTAAAAACTAAAATCAAGGTCTGAAACCTGCCTAGCTAGTGTCTTGAAAAGAATGAAACACCTCCAGAGTAAGACAGCCTGCCAGACAAATGAGAAATTGTAGAAATAAAACTACATATGTGCTACACATTTTTTTTTCAGACAATGGAGCTACAAACTTCTGTAGCACCTGTTGTGGAAAAAGTGAAAGATGCAAATCACTTTACCACAGTCTACATCTTGACTGAGATAAAAATGCAGGTAGTTCTTAAAAGATTATCTAACCAAAAAAGAATCACAGTAGATGTTTTGTTCTGCACCTTCACATCAGTTCCTCCACTGAAAGAGGATTAGCCTGTAAGTATTTACTCTGGTTGGTTTGGGTTAGGGCTTTTTTGGCATGGGGAGATTCCAGCAAAGCTGGTATTCATTCTGCCACCCAGCGGGTGGGTGCCTGAGCTAGGCTGGAAATCGCCGAGCTCCAGCCTTCCTGAGGGACCACGAGAAGCACCCAATTTCAGCTTTGGGGAGCGGATTGCTGGTCCGAATACAGCTGGGAAGAGACCGGCTTTCGTTTTTCTCACTTTTCAGTTCTGTATTCATTTGTTCTCTCTTCAGCACAGATAAGGGGGATGATTTACCTAGGCTTTTTCTGTGAACCGTAAAGACACCATTTACATATACAGATGATCTTCTGCATCTCCTTCCAAAAGCAGGACAGTTCACTACCCAAGAGAGGGAGCCAGGTTCTTGTTCATTGATCTGTGAAGCAGTCTGCCCATTTGGCATCTAGCTTTTGCCATTCCTTGGGGATATTTCTGTGCTTTATGTTATTTTATAAAGCAGGAAAAAAAAAGGTGGCATAAAATGTTCTGCATAGTTGAGTACAGCAGTATTTCCTTTCTAGTTTCCAAGCTTGTCACTGAGAGCACTGGCTGTTTTTAATCTAACATAACATTGGCTTCCTGTGTATTATCTCTCTGACTTAATTTTTGCTCTTCCGTCTCCCACGGTACTTCTACTGACAAGAGAGACAGTAAATGCTGGAATGCCACATTTCAGCCTCAGCATCATTTTTATTTTCTCAGCAGAGGTTTCAAAATAGAAATAGTTGCCTCTATATCTAGCCATCTTTCGTTCTCGCATGCTCTTGTCATTTTCAAAGAGTGCCTTGTGCTTAAAAATAGCTTGATTAGCTGATAAAATTAAATATGCTTTGCACAGGGAGCACCACCCCCAAACATCCTGGCTGTTAATGAGTGCTCTGCTTGCAGATACTGTCAGTCACAGGCTTCAGCCAAAAGGAAGTCCGTGGTTAATGGCAGCTTAAAAAGCTTCAAGAAGCCAACAAACTAGGACAGCATTTTTAGTTTTGAAGTTGCTTTGTCATCAGATGTTTCAACATGTGCAGTACCATGTGTTTCACATGTGAAACCAGTCTTAATAGCCCACATTTCAGAAGGGACACTTTAAGAACAGCGGGATGGACAAGCCAGTCCAGGAGGGATGGCCAATACAGAAGGGATTTTTTGCAGTGGAGTTCCCCCAAAAGCAGAACAGAGATTGAGGATCTACAGAAGGTCAAAAATATCACAGAAGTTTTGAGGCACTTGGTGGAAATTTATAGGCTATGAAGAAAGTGGAAAGTTAGACCAGAGGAGAGAAGACTTCTAACCTAGGGGCTGGTGAGCAGCCAGGTGGAAGGGACTTCAGATGCAAAGCCACAGGCAGAAGGTGGTAATTCTGCTCTCTGCACATACCTCGGAAGTCTCTCATGAGTATCTGCAAGAAATATGAGGAAATAGGGCAGGAAAACTGTGGCGTTCATGAGTGTCTTGGTCAGTGTACTCCTAGTTAAATTGGCACAAGTCCAGTTCTCTGTGGGCTGATTTGAGAGAAGGAAGGTGTACAGCTTCAGGTGTTGGGTCACATAATCAAGGAGTCACTGTGCAAATCCTACCACCCTCTCTGCAAAAGAGCAGGGGCAGTGGGAGGGTACGAGACCCCTCAGTGCCCCTCTGGACTGAGGGGAGCTGGCAGTTGAGATTGGGGATCATGTGGAATTGGAAGGGAGGAGGTTATGTTCCTCACTCCCCTCTCCCATATTTCTCCAGTTACTCTTAGCTGAGAACTGGCCAAGCTGTAAAGGTAAGTGTGCTGCTGCTCTCCGCTGCCTGATGTAAGAGCCAGGCACAGAGCACGACTGGTGGGGTGTTCAGATGAAGCCGAATCCAGCACTGCAGCCTGCTTTTGGGCTAAGGGATGCTTGACAGCACTGGCCAGCATCGCCAGACTGGCTGCAGCAGCCTGAGGGGTACCCAGCTAGGAGAGCTCTTCTGTAGCCAAGAGAAGTAGATACATTTCATTTCCACTTCTGATTTTTAAAGATGAACCTTTTCCTAATGTTCTACACTGTAAATGTCAGAGGGGAGATTGTCTGTGCTCTTAGCTGGCTTCTCTGGTCTTCCAAGGCATGGCTTTTCCAAGAATGTGGTACCTGGGTATTGAAATGGCAAAAAAAAAAAAATTGAAAGCATAGTTTTTTATAAATTTAAATCACGGTCCCTTTTATGTCATCAGTGATCTTGTGAGTGCCTCTAACTTCCTCTAAGAAAAGAAGATAATGCCCTCATTGAGGGTGATAGAAAACGCTATTAGGAAATGCAACAAGAAAAAGCAGGCAGTGGAAGGTGGAACAAAGCAAGTATATGAATTTGTTGAGGCTCAAGACGAAGTTCACAAGGAAAAATCTATTGTTATTTATAACAGTGGAAATTCAGGTAAATCAGTAACAATGAAAGAAGAAAACACCTATTCTGCAATCCAACTCAAGGATGACTCTAATTTGAAATCTTTAAG